ACACAACTAATAAAGTAAAATAAATCAAGGCGCTAAATAAATGTATTTTGACAATGTGTGTAAATCTTCCGGTGTTGGACCGCCAGCACATTTATAATATAGGAAAATTTTCCAACGTCTTTTGGGGGCTACAGACCTGCGGCAGGCAAACAAGCACCTACCCTTCCCTTGAGGAGGCCTGATACCCACCTTCCCCCACTCAGCTCACGCCCCAAAATCTGGGTTAACCAAATGGATAAGCTCTGTTCGCCCAACAGGCTGTGCCCAGGCACAAAACCATTCGAGGGAGGGCCAGATCCACCCAGGTGGGCTGAGGTGATCTTTAATCTAGAGATCCACCAGGCAGATGAACTCTTCCGTGTGGAGAAAGGATGGGCTGCTTTTCTCTGCCTTTAGAATATTTCAAGCGTGCTATGTGTCCAACTCTAGTAATCCTCCACAGGTTTTCTGTCTTCCCGTGAGTCTGTGATCCGAAAAGAGAGATCCCCCCCCAAAGCCTGAACGTTGCCATGAGCAGCTCTGAGCGGCAGTCAGCTCCAGCTCTTGTTTTTACTGACTGTAAGGAGCTTCTGCGTCTTTCTCTGCCTGCGAAATAGATAATCAACCTGATTTCAGTATTGACCATCTGGGGATGTCTGTCCGTAGAGTCGCCTCCTCAGTTGTTGGGAAAATGCGTTTGCTCTGAGTGTTCTCTTAACAAAACTCTGCTGGCCTTCGCCCTGCTTTCTTTTGTACTCCCAGACCAAACTTGGCTGTTATCCCAGTTGCCTTTTGACTCCCTGACCCATTCCAATCCCCTATGATGAGCAGGGCATCTCTCCCTCCCTCTCCCTCCCCTCCCGTTCACTCTTCAGACTTGGGGTTTGGGGCACAGACTTGCATTACTGTGAGGTTGAATGGTTTGCCCTGGATTCGAACTGAGACCATCCAGTCGTGTTTGAGGTTATCAGCACACACGGACACATTCCTTTCCTTTCGTGCCAGATACATCACACCTTTTACAACCTGCCTGAGGGATGAATGCACAATCCAAGGTGACGCAAAAGAAAGCAGTAAAACTGCAACAGGCTCCATCGGCTGCCCTGCAGAGGATTTCACAATCCATCGGTTGCAGCGGGCAGGAGGCAGGCAGGCAGGCAGAAAAAACAATAAAAATGGGGCCGAATACACCATCCCTTTGATTCCCAAAGGGCACTCAGTGGTCATTCCAGGTTTTTGCCAGAATGGCCGCTTCCACCTCACAAGGTCAGCAAGATCAAGATGCAGAAAACTATTGGGAGTTTCCAGAAGGGTCCTCAGCGGTCCTGGGACACAGGTACGGGATCTTGAAAGACGGTCAAAGATCCCCTCTAGGACAACTGACACCATCAAGGCAGGGTGGGTTGCGTTTTCTTCTGACTCTTTCCTCTTCCTCAGGAGACCTTCTATGAAAACCATTTAGAAACTGAACCCCACCTCCACCCCACCCCTTTCTCAGCCTCAAGGCCAATGCCGCAGGGCACTAGCTACACCCAATTGCAAAACTGATCACGCCTCGGACAATAAGAGCGGGATTAAGAGTATGAAACCATGCCATCTGGATTGCTCACCCTGGACTTTTGACATCCAGCCTGAAGATCCCCATGGCTGCCATGTGCTCACCTATGCTTCTCTCCATTGTCTCGGGTGAAGGTCTATCTCCCCACAGCCCTTCCTGCGGCATATCTCCCCCTCGGGGGGGGGGGGAGGGGGGGAACTCACATCTGGCCCAGCCTGCCTCCCATGCGTTACTTTTACTTAGGAGGAAAGGAGTCCTAGGTAGGCAGAGCAGCCAAGATGCTCAACAGATTACACTCCCTGGCAAAATTAGGTCAGTCCATTCTGAAGGAGGCTTAGATATTTCAGTACCGAGATTAAGAATGTGATTGCAAGGAGAAAACAATAGGGCAGGATATGAATCCTGCAGGCTTCAGCTCGGCACCTGATCTTTCAGGCAGGAATAAACAACGAGGCAGAGACTGTGCCTACGCTGAACTGGGGAAACGTAGCAGGGCACAGAATACAAGCTCACGCTGCTCAGTTCAGCTCAAACCATGAAGAGGCATGCAATAGTCCTCAACTTACAGCCATTGATTGAACATTGATTCTACTCTCACTTATGACCATCACACTTCCCTCACAAATACAAGATCACCAGCTGGCAGGGAGTCCTGCAAGTAATGATCCCACGGCGGTGGAACATGGCAACAGATGTAAATGCCAGCCCACCGTCCAGTGCCCAGATTAGAGCACCTGGCCGGGGGCTGCTGGGATGGCTAGAATCTCAGCGATCAGTTCATAAGTACCACCTGCTCAGCACCATCATCACTTCAAATGGCCACTGAACGGGTGTTGTTAACTGAGCACAGCCTGTACAGTTTTTGGGGAGACGGAGGGTGTTATTCACATAGATTTCCTTAAACCCCACGGTAGACTGCAACCTTCAAAGATTGAAACTATCACTCAGCAAAGCCCAGAAGCACAAGGAGGAAATATTTTGGGGTGTCGGTCTTTCCTCCCCAGAGGCAACTGTCAAGCTGTATTTCACCCTCTTGGCCCCCACCAGCCATGTAGTCCAGACTGGCGGCACGTGAGTTTCACCTTTTCCTCCCAAGATGGAAGGGCTTCCGTTTGACTTGGATCAAGACACAGAAAAGACTGTCCAGATGTGGCTGAAGAGTCAAAGTATTGAGGACTTCCATGATGTGGCTGGCACACGGGATGGTGCTGAGAAAGAGAATGAAGGATGGGGAAGAAAATGGCTCATTTCCTCTTACCTTCATTTAAGATCGTTTAGATTAAAGTGATGGAGGCAGAGGCATTACTTTTCACTCAGCCCCCCCTCTCCCCCCCCTCCTGGTGTTCATTCCCTTGAAGGTCTGTGTGCTGGGACAGGGCTCCTCCATCCCTACAAACTGCCTGGGAAAATCTATCCCGCAAGGCAGGCAGCCAATGGCCCCAGCAATCCGCTACAGGAGGGCCCTCTGGTGGATAGAGGAAGTATTGCAAGCTGCCGGAGGAAGCCAGGATTCTGCAAAATGGACCACTAAGAAGCCTGAGGCAGGCACAGGAGTTGCCTGCTGGTTCGGGTGGCCTGCTTGTTGTGGCTCTGGGAGAGAAGAGGCTCAGCAGAGTCTAAGAGGCTCAGTTCTGCAGTGCAGGAGATCCTTGAAATCCTCCCCCATCGCGGATCAACCTGGTGAGGGAAGGATGCACCTGTTCCATGGGACGTGGTACCTGCCCACGGGGGGAAGGAGTTTAGCTCCCCAGTCGGTGGCCACCCACTGCCTTCTTCCTGGCAGCAATCTTCCCAGGTGGTGGGAAGAAGGGGGCAAGAAGGGGCCCCATTCTCAGTCCTCGTTTTTTGTTGCCCTGGCCCTGGAGCGAAGGGATGCTGCGTCTTATGCTAGGCCCTCTTTAAGATGGGAAATGAACTCTCAACTCCGATCCCCACCCCCGATACCTGAATGGCCTCCTCCCCTCATCCTACAGAAGGCTGCCCAGATGCGTTCCTTGCACCGGACAGTTTCCATTTGTTTCTGATTTCAAGACCTGATGAAAACACCAATCTGGATCAACCCACAGATCTGGAGACAATAAGGGGGAAGTGGAGTTCCCACAAAGGATTAGTGTGCCTTCCTGTGGTTTGCAAGGTTGATTTGCCCTTCCTCCTGAGGTGCATCAGAACGCCACGTCCGAGCAGAGACGACCTTTGGGTCTGGCTAGGCAAGGAGGAGAGAAGATCGATCGATTTATGGACTGAGAAGAAGCCTCGCAGAGGGCCCCCTTCTCTCAAGTGGGGAAGTGGGACCGCCAAGGAGAAGGCAGGATGCGGGGGAGATGTTTCAGTAAAGAATGCTTTTTTAGGACTGTCCCTCATCAAACGGTGATAAAGAGGCTTGTGGGGTGGGATGGTCATGGCTCATGGCCAAAAAAGTCTAGTTTTTTTTAAAAAAAACCTCATCTGCAGTCATTCCTTGGAAATGCCTTTTAAACACTGATGATGTAACTAGTTGGGTAATGAAAAGTCTGCAGGAAAACAGCCAATCTCAGAGAGCAGGTTATATATTTATGGTTCTGCAAAGCTCAGAGGAAACAAACACCCCACTGGCCTGATTAATCTACTCTTATCTACCCACTTTACTATGAGACCATATGATCACAATCAAGATGGTTCAGTCTGCTAATGACACCCGATTGCTCATTGCTTCCGAGTCTTGCCAATGAGTCTCCCTGTGTGTGACCTCCATGCTTGCCAAGGGGGGAGAGAATGGAAACCAAGCAGTTTTTTAAACAGATTAACAGAGTTGGAAGGGACCTTGTGATGCCGCCCAAGCAGGAGACTCTACCCCTGTTGCCCTCCGTTGTCTTCTAGGCAGACTGGGATGTTGTTCCACTCTGGATCCATTGCAGAGATTAGCACAGCTGCCCCTCAACTGGGGGCACCTCACATCCCTTGATGGTCATGGCTCATGGCCAACTTTTTCTCCATATAAAGACCACAAGAACGGCTAAATTAGCAACCTGACACCACTGCAATAGCGAGAATGGATGGGAAAGGAGTGAGATGACGCATCAGCCGATTTAAAAATCTGCAGAACGTTGGGGATTGAACCCTCATAGTGACCCGGTGGGATTTCGATGCCCAGCTGGTGGCAGGAGAACTGCTGAGAAGATATTGGGCCAAAGAGAAGCCTGTAGAATCCCTGCACTAAAGGGTCTAGCTGGACCTCCTGCCAACTGCCTTTCCTAATCAGATAGCCTGTCATAGAGTGGACTCAGTGCTGCCTCCCATCGCACCTTCCTCTCTGCCTTGTTCTTCCTGCAGATGAAGCACATAATGGGCGGGGAGAAGAGGAGATCAGCCTGCCCTTATCAACCCTGGACCATCTATTTTTTCCTTGGATCAGCCACTGGCCTCTCCACAGCCTTCACGGGCAGCTTGGCAGAGGAGGAGGAGAACCTGCCCCAGGTGAGCCGCAATGGTATCCTACGGGAAGCGCCTGGCCTGCCTTCTTGTTGCCGGCACCATCTACCCAGCTGCCTTCCTGCTCTCGGCCCTTATCCAGTACCGAGGAACCGAGTTTCCTCCTGGGATCGATCAACCCCTGAAGGCCCGCATCTGCCAGACGGGGCTCATCACAGGGTTAATTTTGGTAAGGTTTCTTTCACTTTTCTTGGACCGGGACGGGAAAATTGTCTTGATTTAGCCTTTTCTTAAAAGATTAGAATGGGCCTGAATTCATGAGCACTCCCCCACAATGGAACAGAAACAGTTTCTTGAAGCTGTCTGTCCAGATATGGAGGCCTGAAGAAGGAGCGCTTCCCTCGGTAAAAGGCAGCATTCCCGCACCTGAAGTCCTCCGGCTGGTCGAGATGTCAGGTCCCATCACTCCTAGTTGACTCCCGTCAATAGGATAGGGCACGTCTGGCTTATGGAGGTACTCCTCTTTGCAAAGTTTAATGCCCTGCTACATCTTCTCTGCCAGACCTGCGACCTACTACAGCCTAAATCACTGTAATTTTGGCACTTCATGTATGTGTTGAAGGGAGAGCAACAGAATGCATCACAACCCTGAAATGCAAACTCTGCCTCACATCCACATACAAAAGGAACTGAGCCTGGGTGGTCACACGACGATGCCCGTTCTTTCATTCTGAAGGACTCTCTGTCTGCTGCGGGTACCATGCGGGTGTAGGAATTCCAACTCTCTGCAGCCAAAGATTAAGGTGATCTCCCAAAATTAAATTCTCCTCGTCTGTGCTTTGGCCAACAGGGAATTGTTTTAGAGGAGCTGGGTTTGTGCACCTTCCCCGATTTCTTACGGCTTTGGACTAACGGAATACCTCCACGTAGGGATCTGTCCCTTGTCATTCAGAATGAGAAATTTGATGGGGTGCCAGTGAGGATCTACTCATCCAGAATGGTGCCAACTACGAAAAGAAAAGCTGTGCTTTACTTCCATGGAGGAGCAGGCATTTTTGGAAGCATCGGTAAGGCCACGGGGACTATTCTGAGCCAAGCTCGGACAGCTAAACCGAAAAGGTTAGGCAATCTCAGGGCAGTAATAGCTGGAAGCCTAAAAACATCCCACGTAACGGCAAAACCCTTTCAAGGCGGTTGGCTACCAAAACACCACACGGCGATGTTCATGAAGTCACTTGGCATCCAATGTTTCTCCCCCCCCCCTCTCTCTCTGACACACACACAAACGAACACAACTATCCACACTAAACCAAGAGCTCTCTAGTGATCCTACTTCCCGAAGTGCAATGCGAAGGCTATCAATGATGCTTTGGCCATCCACCCAGCCCTTCCTGTCACATTCGTATCTCTTCCTTTGCCCTGTGTAGCCCTGGAGGCTTCCACCAGCGTAGGTGAAACCAAGGGAGCCTTCTCTAGGCAAAGGGTCACCAAACCACCTTAAACGAACGGCTGAAAAGAGCAAACTCATCCAAACATGGGATCCCCTGTTTGCTGAGCATATCTGAACTGTTCTGAAAGCCGAGAGGCCCAACTATATGAAAGCCTCAGTTTGCTTGGCTCTCCGCTCTCCTTCACCCCAATGCACCTGGGGGGATCCCCCCATAGCTGCTCACTGAGAAAGCATCCCAAAAGCAGGAGAGCTGAGCAGTGACCGTGGCCACCCTGGGGGTGACCGCTTCCCTCCGAGGCTTCAGGCAGGGAAAGAACGGGGTTTGCAGGAGGGAGTTTTCATGCAGCACAACTCTCCGCTTCTCTTTTCAGATGCCTACGAAAGAATCCTGCGCCACATGGCCAAAGAGGGGGATGCGACGGTGGTGGCGGTTGGGTGAGTGTTGCCACCTCTTCGCCTCTCTAATCTGCAGCACTGGGGGGTGGGGAGCAGAAGGGGTCTAATATTATGGTCCAGGCTGACAGCCTTGCATAGGCAGGCAAAGGAAAGACAATGGACCACCTGACTACTCACCGCAACACACAGCTGCACTGGGTCACGGCTTACGGGACCAACCTTTCCCCAGCTGGAAAGGACCCCTTAGTCCAGCTGCTTCCCGAGGTCTCGGGGGGGGGGGGTTTCATGGAAAGTGGGTGGGGAGAGTTCGGGAACAGCCAGGAAGTGGCTGCTTAGGAGAAGAGGGGGGACTTCCCAAGTGTGGAAGGGAGGAACTCGACTGGAAACACCCCCCCCCCCCAAGATCTTGTTTGGTATAAGTTTGGGTGGAGAAAAACTCTTAGCGGGCTTTCAGGACTCTGACCACTCTACCTCCCAGCCCAGCTGGGTCTGCCTCTTGAGCTGGCCTTCCCCAGAGCGCTTACAGATACTAACCTGGATAACTCTGCCCGTAAGGCTAGATTTAACACACTCTTAAACCCGCTCTGCTCTGGCTTGAAACAGAAGCCGCTGAGCCAGCCAGAAACGATTTTGGCTTCAGGGATTTCAACCGACCGACCGACAGCCGCCTCTTGTGGCTGAGATTTCAATTCAGCAGCTGGAGCAGTGAGGGGTTGGGCAGAGAGAAGATTCCGCTGTGGTTGATTGGCTGGAGAATGCTGGCTCCTTCCTGAGGCAATCTGTGCTGTGATTGGTTGCTGTGGGTGTAGAGGGGGTGTTTCCTTTCCCCCCCACCTTTTTCTTCTGTGTGCTTGTGATTCACCTCATGGTGCTCCCGTTGGCCTCACTACCTTGCTTGCTTTAAATTTAGATGTAAAATATTCATGGATATAAAAGTAGAAGTTTGTGTAGGCAACTCTGACTTCATTTGGACACCAGCTGTGTGATTCTCAGATGTCTTTCTTACTACATCCTTGGAACAATTTTGTTGGATTTCACTCAGGATTATTTCACATAGTCCTTATGATGTTTATTGATTAACTTTCATATTTTCACTTGGACAGTTTTTAGATTCCACTGCTTAAAAACAAGAGTTACTTAGTACTTGAATAATTGCTTTTATAAAAACTCATATGGTTGCAACAGTGTTGTTCTGTGTTACATATTTTAAAAACACTGTTACAAAAGAAAGTAAGGACTGAATTCACCAATGCACCAAGAATCCATAATAAGTCATTTTCTGATCCTTTTAGATATGGACTTGGGCCAGAGAATCCTTATCCAAACCAGTATACTGAATGTCTGAAGGCTGCTGTCTACCTCATGAAACATGGAGAAGATTATGGCGTAGACAGTTCTCGTATTATCATTTCCGGAGACAGCTGTGGGGCTAATTTTGCCACACGCATTTGCCAGTTACTGGTGGACCACAGAGACCTTCCCAAGGTCCACGCTCAAGCACTGATCTATCCAGGACTGCAGGGCATGAACTTGTCTTTGCCATCCTATCAGCAGAACTGCAGAAGTCCCTTCTTGTGGAAGAAACTGGTCGCCTACTTTTGCTGCCGCTACCTTAACAAGTCAACTTCCTTTACAAATGATCTTCTGAAGGGCAGCCATGTCCCCAAGGCTACCCGAGTGAAGTACCAGAAGTGGGTGAATGCCAACAGCATCCCTGAACAGTTCAAAGTCAGGGGTTACACAGAACAAGACCCCTCTTTGTCTCATTTTAACCCTCAGCTACATGAAGAAATGAAAGAGTTGCTCTCAGAAAACATTTCCCCTTTGCTGGCCGAAGATGCGGTCGTCTGCAAACTCCCTCAGACCTTCCTTTTGACTTGCGAGTTTGATGTCCTTCGAGACGACGGGCTGCTGTACATGAAGCGGCTGATGGACAACGGTGTGCCAGTAACCTGGAGCCATGTTGAGAATGGCATGCATGCAATCATGCTCTTTTTTGGCTATGGCATCCTGTCCTTTCCTTCAGCAGAAAGGATTGTCCATGATGTTACCAATTTTATCAGACGCTTGTGAGGCCAAAATGAAACCGAGAGAGGGACATCACTTTTTCATCTTATTCCTAAAACACAGAGAATTTGGTGGCCGAGACTTGTGCTCCCCTTAGGAAAAACTGCTTAAGTGGACCGACGGGGGTCCTCCCCACCAGAAAACAGCTCTTCAGATCCCAGGGGCTCTCCGGCTCAGAGGATGGCCCTCCAGCTGCTTCTCAAGACAGATATCCTCAAGAGTGACCCAAGTTGTGCCAAGGATCCCCACCGCCCTGAAGTGTGTGTGTGTGTGTGTGTGTGTGTGTGTGTGTGTGTGTGTGTGCCAGCCAGGGAGGGCCAGAGATGGACTGAGCCTGGAAATGGAGGACCTTCACACCTGGGCCACTCTAACAAAAGCAGTACAGGAAGACCAACTACTCCCAGGGGCAATTTCAGAATGAGAACCAAAGAAAGTCCTCTTGGTGTGTGTGTGTGTGTGTGTGTGTGTGTGTGTTTGAATGCATTCCTTTCAGTGGCACCCCAATGTCCAATCCCCCAACAGCAAACGCCCATCAATTCACCCAGAAAATTCCCATCCTCAGGAGGCCGGGGTTGGTTGGATGTGCGGGAAGCTCCCCCCTAAAGAGACCCGCAGGGCGAATCTGCCTCTCGCTTCCGGTCTCCCCCCACCCTATGTTGTGTCTAGGGGTCCTGAGCAAGGGAATCCCGCTGGCTGACTGAGGCAGGGCTCCGGGGGGCCACATTGTGCAACTGCAGAAATGGGAGAGGCCACGGGCTGACTTCTCAGCCCGGGAGCCTTGTAATTATGCCGATCAGGGCACGGCCTCCGTCTCTGCAGTGACTCAGCTGGGAGAGAGCAGGCCAGGGGAAGAGGTGGCCTCTCTGAGACCTCACAGACGTAAACAAATCCTCCGGCCTCCCCTGAGAAGGCACTCTGTTCACCCTGCTCACAAGGAAAGGGATGCTCACCCTCTCCTCCTTCTGCTCCCCTGCCCACCAAAACGTACCTCGGGGCTCAGCATCTGAGGTGCCACGCATCGATAGCAACAATGCTTGGATCATGGCCAATTCAGGAAAGGATGGAGGTGGACTGCATTGTTTTCACAACCAGGAATAGCAGCTCAACTATTCAACACGGTATCAAAGGGCCGTATGGCTCGGGGAACCCAACCGCAGCCACATCAAGAAAAGAGCCTCCCTCGACCTCCAGACTCCCAGAGGATGTTCAGGTCTGAGGGCTGACCCAACGCCGGCAGGGCAGTCAAGGCTGTTATAGACCTTCCTGCTCTGCTTTTGGCCTGGGCCGGTTATGACGACCTTCCCCAAATAGAGATTCCTCCGGGGACCGACCAGCCTGTGTAGATCTCCCTCCTTCACTGGAAGATAATGACCCGTCCCTCTCTGGGAGGGGTTGGCAATATCTCTTTCCCCCATGTCTATGCCGGTGCTAGTTGCATGGACTTTCTTGGTAGAGATCCCTCTCTTCAAGGAGATTATCCTTTGGACTTGCCTAAACTTGCTCTAAATAAAAGCAGAAGAGATAAGACATCCTTTAGCACCTGCATATGTACTCAGTGAGAACAATGAGTGCCAGTTTGGATGCCTTCTGTGCTTGCTCCAAGCACCTCTAGCGGGAATGGAAGCCGAGGCGCCAGAAGAAACTGCAGCTTGGGGTAAGCTTGTTCTGACCCAAATTCTTGGAATCTCAACTGCTTGTCTTTCTGGAAAGCCTTCTCTGGTTTAATAAAAGTCTTGCCCTCTTTTGTATCGGCATTGAGAATTCGTCTTCTGCTCTCTTCTTGTTCTTCTGCTTGAAGGTGGCTGGAAAACCACCAGACGGAGCAAACACCAAAAAGCTTTATCAGTGTTTTATCAGTGTTTTTCTGCTCCATTTGTTCCCTTGCAAAGGAACTAAAACGGGGAACCTGAGAACCTTCACTTGACCTGAAAGGACAAAAGTGCTCTGGGAGACTCCAAGGAGGGTTTTTCTTCCACCTTTCTGACTCGGGTGGATTCAGAGCGGGCCCAGCTGCTCATATTCCTGGCATTCCCTCATGTCAAAGGTGCGCCCACATATTTCATTCTAAATCCCAAGGGTCAGACAGAGCTCCAAGGAAAATGATGCCTTGGCTAAAAGCACTGCATTTATTTCCATAGGGAGACCCCGATAAAAGGATGGGAAGACCTTTGGCAGCTCTGCCTCCTCCCCTCTTTGCGTTGCAGAGATCCTGCAGAAGGAGCTCAGCACATCTTTCTTAGGGAAAACCTTTCTAGAAAAGGGAGAGACTCACCTGGCACAGAGTCACCTGGCACCATCATCCCTGTAATTTGCCAGGTGCCTATCAGAACCTGAGCAGAAACGTCTGTTCCAGTTTTCGGACAGATTCACCGCCAGTTGCCTCGTGATGAAACTGTGAAGGTCGAGGCTCTTGTCCTCTGGTAAGTCTGGACAGACCTTGGGCAGAAGGGCTGGACTGACTACTGCAAACTCCTTCCTGTTTCCACTTTATTTTCACGCAGGGGAGGAAGATGCCAGGGCAGGAGCTTTCACCCAGTAAGACCACCCCCGCCCCGCTCCTGCCCAAGGCCTGGCCAGCCCCCAGTTCTGAGGTCCATGTTGGTTCAGAACCACAAAGCACAGGAGCAGCAACCAGGGCCGTGTGGTTGAGAAAACCGTGGTCTGGGCCGAGGTCCTTTCCTGCCAAGCACCAACTAGAGAAGGGTGGGCATGTCTGGGCTGGGTTCTCCTTTGGGGCACAGCTTTAGGTCTGATGAGCCCCCCCCCCCCCCATGGCCGGCAGCCATTCTTGGGGGTGCTGCCCCCCTCATGGAGGCCCACGCTTCCCCCAACAGCGTCCAGCGGAAGCACTACAATCCTACCGGGTGGGAACGGCTGCTTGTCCCTAAGAGCAACAAGCCCCGCCTGAATCCGGCAAGGGCCGAGCAAGATGGGAGGTGTGGTCCGAGGGCGCTCCGCCCTGCCCCGCAAAGCTCGAGGCCCAGCGCTGCGGCGGCTCTTCCTCCCTCAGAGACCGGCGCCCCGATGGGCTTCCCGCAGGCGCTGCTGGCGCTGCTGGGCGCGGCGGGGCTCGCCGCCCTGATCCTGCTGGTGCTGGGCAGCATCTACTTCGAGGCCACCAACTCCGAGCTGCCGGCCGGGCTGGAGCAGCCGGCCAGGCTACGCGTTATTCATGCCTGCCGCATTGGGGCCGCGGTCCTGGTGAGCAGGCGGCAATGGGCGGGCGCCCGCCCAGGAGGGAAGGCTTCTGGGCCGGGGAGGCTCCACCGAAGAGCCGCGGCTCTACTGATGCGGGGGCAGAGCCGGGCAGGGCGGGAAGGGGGCGTCGAGAGGATCCCGCCTGATGAAGCCGGTGGGGACTTTCCTCTGCGGGAGCTCCCGGGCGCACCAAAGAAAGCGGCCGCTCTCGGGACAGCCGCGCCTGGTGCGCGCCTGCAGACCCCCTCGCTAAATAAGACCTGCGCCGCCTGGCACCGAGGGAGGTGGCCGAGGCGGCCCCCGCCCAGACCCCTGAAAGATGGGAAGGGGAGGCCGAGGATTCCCACGGGGCGAAGCTGGGCTTTCCGCGGGTGACTGGGCCCCTCCCTGCTCCAGGGAGGTCCGATCGCGTTCCGAGTCCGACCCGGAGCAGGCTGCCCTTTGCATGCGGCCAAGCGCTCAAGCACCTGCTTTGCTCCCCTGAAAGGGACGGATCTTGGAGAACCTGCACTTCTGCCGCCAAATCCAGTTCGTCCGGTTGGTGCGCAACGCCTGGACGAGGAGGAGAGACCCCGCCCTCCACATCCAGGACGCCGCCTTCGAGGGCATCCCAGTCCGGCTATACCTGCCCAAAGCGCCCTCCGCCGCTGGCCCGAGGAAGGGCATCGTGTACTTCCACGCAGGGGGCTGGCTCTTCGGCAGCCTGGGTGAGCCCCGTCCCCGGAGTTTAGCTTCCTCCAAAGAGGAGCGTGGGGCTTTTCTGTCCACGCGGAGAAACACGCACGCACGCACGCGCACAGGGAGGGAGGGAGGGAGAGAATGTTTAATTCTTGCTGATCTAACTCAGGCGCCATTGGGATCCTTCATGTGAGTTTGGATTTCAGAACTGAATTGCCAAATTAAACTGATCCAAATCAGAAAATGGGTCAGATTCAGTGGAAAAAAGGTTTTCTGTACACGACTACTGAAGCACTGGGTCTATCTGGAAGCAACCAGTTGATTCCAAAGAAGGGATCCAAGGGGAAGGCTCTGCTGCCTTCATGCCGACAAGGCACTGATGGCCCATTTGCCATTCAGGACTTGTTTCCCAGAGGATCTTGACGAAATATTTTTGGGCAGTTTCTACAATGGCAGCATTTGGCAGGCGCGCGAGGAGCGTAGTAGGCATGTGGTGTCTTTCCAGTCAGTCGTGCAAATTATCTTTTTTTCAGGGAGCCAGGAGCACCTCTGCTGCTACTTGGCCAGAGAAAGCGACTCGGTGGTTGTGTCTGTGGCGTAAGTCATCCCAAGTGGGTTTTGTACTCTTATCCCAGATCCTGGGAGTGAAAGGCGGTAGGTAGCCCAAGAGAACGAGCCACCAGCTTTGCGAGGCGAGGGTACCCCAACAACACCCCCAGAAATCTTGCCTGAATCTCCCCAACAAAACAGAAGGGGAGCAATCACCATCTTGGGGGTGGGGGGGCTTGAACCTGGCGGGACCAGCCAAAGCAAGAGGGGCTGAGCTGGCAGGCAAATATTCCTAATGCAGGCAGTCCTTCTGGAATAGATGCCCTTCCCAGCGCTCTTCTCAGCTGGGGGCCAAACAGGGGTTTCTTCTCTTTTGGCCCAGGGTTTCTGCTTCTCAATTGGGTGCAATCTTCTCATCCAAGGATGCTTGCAGTGACCTTGCAACTGCCCCTGAACTGAACCACGAAGATCTCTCTCTCCCTCCCTCTCCATCTTGAGGGAGAAGGTCAAAGTCTTCCTCCGGTTTATGTGGACCTCCTTCCCTGCAGGTACCGCTTGGCTCCTGAGCACAGACACCCCGCCCAGCTCAACGACTGCCTTGCTGCCTCCACCCACTTTCTGAAGGTCGCGGAAGACTACGGGGTGGACAGCAGCCAGGTCATCCTTGCTGGAAATGAGGCGGGTGGGAATCTCGCTGCCAGGGTCTGTCAAATCTTAGCAAGTAGACCGGGCCCTGCCAAGGTGCACGCTCAGATCCTCCTCTGCCCCATTCTCCAAGCGGTAGACTTCAACTTGCCTTCCTACCAGCAGAACCGGGCCGTGCCACTTCTGTTCCGAGAACGGGCTGCTTTTTACCTGCTACAGCGCTTGACGGGAGACGCTTCGTGCCTGGGGGATATCTTGGAAGGGTCACACGTCCCGATGAAACTAAGAGCGCAGTACAGGAAGTGGCTGAGCGTGGACCACCTCCAGGAGGAGTTTAAGGCCAGGGGCTATAAGCCCACCTCCTGCCTTTCTTTCAAAGAGGATGTCTGCGAGGCCCTGGGGAGCTTGACTTTACCTGAATGCTCACCGCTTCTGGCGGAAGAGGCCGTCCTCTCGCTGCTTCCCGAGACCTTCATTCTGACCTGCGAATATGATGTCCTGAGGGACGATGGCCTGCTCTACAAGAAGCGCCTGGAAGACCAGCGGGTCCCGGTGACCTGGTGCCATCTGGCGAACGGATTCCATGGGATTATAGAATTTTTTGAGAGCAGCTGGCTTGGTTTCCCATCTGGGAAAAAGGGGGTGGATGATATTGTCAGCTTCATTAAAGGCTTATGAAATAACAAGAATAGCAGTAGTCTGCCAGAAAGTAGAAAACATGCATTTGTCCCAAATTCAGTCCAGTTAGGACCAGCCTGAGCGCCAAAGGCTGAATTGCTCTGGAATTTGAGCAGTGGCCAAGCCAACGGGATGCTTTAAAAGCCTTTGCTTCCCACCACAGAGAAGAGAACTGAACAACCCCCTCCGGGCCAAAGGGGGGGGGGGGGCGGGGGGGGTGGGTTCCATGCTGGCTTCATGGTGGCCACGAGACACGGTCACGTTGTACCATCCTGCGGTACTGGATTTGGTGTCTGCTGTTTTAACGGGCTATTCTAAATAATTGGCTCATTGTGGTACTTCACATAGATGTCCGTGGCATTTATTTTGTTTTGTTTGCACACTGACTTGAGACTCTGAGTACTTGGAGACTGAATGATAAATGTTAGAAACAACATTTTGGAAATGGCCATGTAGATTTGTGTGCTGCAATTCAGGAATAAAATACAGCTGACTTGTTCTGTTATATTAACATGGCAACAGTCTCTGGTACATAATCCTTTTGCCAGGGCTTCAGGCTCAATAATAAATAAATAAAGCCAGAAACCTTCACAAAGAGCCTGCAGGGAGGGTGCTGCCTTCAGCTTTTGCCCATGAAATGCCGCAGCCTTGAGCTGCACCCCACGTGCAGATAAAAGGGGTCCCCCAACGCCAGAGATGCTCTTCCGTTTATCCTCCTGATGGTCAGCCAGACCTTCCAAGGAACTAGAAGCATCCCTGATGCATCCGGCCCCACAGCCCTGAACCCCATAGAACAAGCCCATGGACTGCATCGCAACAGAATCTCCTGTTGCCGTGTCACAGGAGGGTAGCCAAGGCGATGGGCAACAATGGAGAACCTGAGATGAAGCAACGCTGCCACAAAGGAGCCCCCAGAAGCTCTCAGCCAGAGGAGGAGAAAGGAAGCTGGTGGGGGGTGGTGGGGAAACATGATTAATCTGTGCAGAGATGTCCAGGAATGCACCATCCCCAGCTGGAAGGTGGAGCCAAAGTACTCAACCAAAGTGCTCATTGGAAACTGGGGAGAGGAGAGGAGAAGGGTAAGGAAGTCACACACACACACACACACCCCGGGGGGGGGGGGCACCAAGGTAGTCAGCATAGGAAATGGGGATCCATGGTGGCCCAAAAGGGCGATCTCAGCTTGTTTCTGTGATGGCTGTTTATCTGGGTTATTTTAGTTTGTCTGCGATAACGAGGGGACCAGTCAAAGCACCTTCAAACAAGATTTTATTCCTTTCCCCACCGGGACCCCAGACCGAACTGTGATGCGGAGGCTTATGAAGCGGCTGGAAGTGAGTCACGGGAGTCCTGATCCAAACTTGGGGCCTTTCAGGTCCATGTCCTGCTTGGACTGGGAAGGCTGTGTGATTCCAGCCAGGGTTGGGAGGGGTTGGGAGGGCCTGCTGTTGCCCCCTCTTCCACACTGTGGTGGCACTTAACCATGGCAGAGAACAGAGTCGTTTCCTGGGTGTGCACAGTACACTAAATCAGACACTAACCCCGAGGGATGAGCTACACACCAAGAAAACCCACCAAAAACCAATCTAGCTTCAAGCAAAGCGAACTCAGCAGGCGACTCAAAAGCTCCCCTTGTGTGTGGTCCCAGGCGCCCCCCCCCCCCCACTTGCACCCTGCAGACCAACCTCCCCTCCCAGGTCCCCTGCCTCTGAGCATGCGCTTCGTCCCATCGTGGCTCCATTCAGGCAGGACGTGACATTTTGGCCACATTTTGCCTTTCCCAAACTGTCACCACAGGTCTGACTCTGGATTCTGCCCTCCCCAGTCCAGTTCACCTGGTAGCCTCTGCCAGCCTGCCACCCCACCCCCGGGTGTGGTGGGAGGGGGACCTGCAGCCTGTCCCTCTGTCAGGCCCATCACCTTCAAACGCCACTCGTTGCCTTTTAGGGCCTGCCACGGAAGTATATCTTGACCCACTGTGAAGAGGCCAGGCATCGGCACCTGGTCACGCAGTATGACGATCAATACAACAGGCACGGCCACAACCCACAGCTGCCTCCACTCCGCAAATGGGACAGGCACAAACTGGCATGGACGCCAGAGAAATCAGACTACCCCCTGGTTGGTAGGTCCCAGGACGAGGGAGGGCAGTGAGGGCTGGGGCGGTGGGCTCCCATCCTAGAAGGCTGGGTGGGGCTCTCAAGGAACACTTGTGGCAGAGTCTGGGAGACCAGCAGGTGGGCATCCGCTTGCCAGCTGCTGCAGTGGGACAAGTGGGAATTCAAGCAGGCCTCCAGAAAAGAAATGCGGGGGGGGGGGGAGAGGGAGCATCCGGAGTCTTGGTGGGCGGAGTCAGGGTGACCAGACCGCTGCCTACAAACACTATTGACACTGCGGCCATCCAATGGATGCTGGACCGGGGGTGGGGGGGTGGGGGGGTTGTCTGACAAGGTAGTCCTGGGAATGGGGACATCACACACAACCCCCCACCCCCTGGGGAACCAAAAGACCACCCCCTCATCCCGAGGGCTCCCTCCAGCACGCAGGGGGCAAGGCCCATCGCCTGCCTGGCTCAGACTCGGCGGCCTTAAGCTTTGCTGCCTCAGCTCCTCTTCCCGCTGCTCAGATCTCTGTAGATTTATCTGAGCACAGTGTACAACCTCCCTTCCCCCTCCCTTTCCTGAAATGACATCCTTTTCAGAGCCCCCCACCAGCTACGGACTTTTGGAGCACCTGATGGACACCTGGCACCGTAAAGAGCCGGAAGGGGCCAAGAGCGTCTACCACAGCTCCTACCCCAAGCCTCCCGCCTCGGCATACGCCCATCGCCAGCGGCCGGACACCAAGCGCATCCTGGAGCAGAGCCGCCAGCAGTGGCTGCCCAGAAGCCTGGATGCCCCTGCCTGAGAAGGGCAGAAGCCTCCCGGGGGTGGGGAGCAGGGAATCGGTTTGTCCAGCCAGGCGGCTGAGGGCCTTCTCTGAGGCGAAGCTCCCGCTTCTGGCAGGAATAAGGAGAGCCAGAAGCTTTACACGGTGAGGGAACTGGAGCCATAAACCACAAACCGAAGCCGTGTTGCCTTTGGGCCTTGAACTGCCTCGGCACAGCTTTTCCCCCAGCTGCCCACAGGCAGAGGAAGAGAGGAGGAGGAGTTTAAACAACTGGCCGGCATATCCTGCTCCAGCTGTGGATTTCATGCCTTCCTAGAGCTCAACCACAATTCCAGGGACATAGAAAACGGAGGGGAGCTTGAGGCGGGGGACACCCCCCCCCCCCAGAACAGGTTCAGGGAGTTTAGAGGCCACGTGGCACCGAGCTCTCGCTCTCCTTCCTTGGCACCTGGGCCCAATAAAGCTGCTGGAGGCACCTGGGAGACTACAAGTTTCTCCTTCCGGGATGGGGGGGGGGGGGGAGGACGGACACCCAGCGGTTGGATTAGGACAGAAAGGAAGGGCTGCCCCATGTGGGAGAAGGCTGATGCTGGACATATTTTCCATTGGTTGGGAGAGGGGGGACAGGGCAAGGAAAAATAAATAGGCGGAACAAAGACTACCCCAACAACCCCTGGAATTTGACTTGAGTACCACCCTCCCCCCGCCATAGTTAACAATCTCAACACCATGCCAGTCGCAGTCACTTTGACACCCAAAGATCACAGGATGCAACTTTTTGTAGGTTGGACAGGTACTGCATTGGTCACAATTGTAGTGCTACATTTGGGGGATGGAGAAAATTTTTAGCTTCAGAGGGAAATACTCTTTTAGAACCTGAACTGTCACCCCCACCCCCCCTCCACGACTAGAACCGACTTTCCTCCGGGGAGGACCCTCTGCTGCAAGGAGGGGATCGAGACCTCCCCCTGCCGGGACCGAGCCCCAGAAAACACCGGCTGAAATATGTATGCCACCCACCCACCCCTATCACTGGTCCTTGGAGGCAGCCCAGGGCAAAGGAAGCCCGGCCCAGACCCGCCCTCTGGCGAGTGGTGGGGGGACCAGGGGGCGCTTCAGGCAGGGAGAGGAGGAGGAGGCGGCAGATGTGCAGATGCTACGGGGGGGGGGGGGGGAATCCACAAGGGAGGAAGGGGGCTGGGGGCTACTCTGGAAATTAAAAAAAAATCCCACTTCCACATTGTTGCTAAGAAAATGGCATGGAAGCTATTTATAAGAAAATGCAGGGCATGCAGGGCAGCTGCACAACTAAATGTCCTTTTCTAAGAGGCAGCTCACCTCAAAGAGGGTTAGGGTAGGAGAAAGCCAACAGCCCGGACCGCTGAGATCCATTTTAACATCTCCAGAAATGTCCACCCTGGATGCTTCCACATTGCAGGTTTCCAAATATGGACTTGGGCACAAACCATTTCCAAAACTCTACTTATCCCCAGTTTCAGCTTAGGAGGAGGCTAAAGACAGGCGGAACTCAGGCGTCCCGACCGACGTCTGTCTGTGGTGGGAAGGAAGAGGAAGAGGGTTTTCCATCGAGGCCTTGGTCCCTGAAGGCCTCCTGAAGGAACCCTGCTGCTCTCAGCACCCCAGGCGGGCCTCACTACGATCCCCCATCACCCAGCATCGACAAAAGCACTGCCGTCTGCCCACAGATTCATCAGCCTCGCCTTTCAATCTGTGTGCCTGATTCGCACGTGGGCCAGGCTTAGGATGAAGTTCAGTTCCGTTTCAAAGTAGCAGAGCCTTCCCAACCAAGCATTTAGGAGCAAACTATGGAGAAGGGGGAACATGGGAAGCCCAGTGGTAGCAATGCTTCTCCAGGGAAAGGCTGGACGTTCGGACCCCTTGGAGACAATCAGAGGGGAGAGGAGGGCAAGGGTCACCCCGTTGACCCAAAAGCTCTTCTCCTTTGGAAAAACAGAGGGCCAGGTGCCATTTCTCTCCCATGAAGGAAATGAAGGAAACACCACAGGCGAAGAAGAAACCGGCAGCTGAGCCTGGAAGAGTCGGGCTGGCCTCCTGCTGCTGCTGCTGCTGCTGCTGCTGCGGCTCCTGTTGAAGCAATCCTTCCAGACGTCCCAGGCAGGCAGGGCGGTGGGCAAGGGGCTTGGGAGCCTTGGGCAGGGAGGGAGCCAGCCACATGGCCACGGCCACCGAGGGGAGCTGCAGAAGTAAATGCAGCCGCAGACAGGAGAGCCCCATCAGGAGCTACTCGGGGCCACTTCTTGGAATTGGACAGCGGGATTTCCTGCTGATTTGCAGCTGTCCAGAGAGAGAAGATTGAAGAGGAAGCAGCTGTCAGCCTCCTGCTTCTGAGAAGGCCCCTCCTTGCCTCCTGAGCGATGGTCACTGGAGAGGATCCCAAAGTATCTTGTCCTATCAATCCCCCTGGGAAACTCCCGGTCAGCTACGTGGCTGAGCTGCCCTTTCCAACCAGTGGAGGCAGTCCTTGGCTTCCGTTGAACAAGGCGGGCAGGGGCAGGGAAAGAGAAGGGAACTCAGCCTTCCTCCTCCTCCTCCTTTTTTCTGGGCGTGCATCGCTGGAAACAGTTCACGAGCAGCGCCAGAACTAAGCTAGAGATGATGGCTGCGACGGAGACGGCTGCCCCGGAGAAGATGATGATCAGGAGGTCCACCAGGGACAGCCTGGACTTGCAGTCCCGGAAACTGGCTTCCGTGAGTTCGCTGAGCGGGACGGAGCTCTCCTCCACGGGGAGGGTGCACCGGATCTCACCCAGACCTACAGCACAGCAGGAGGCAGAGAGGGAGGGGGAAGGAGGGGCACAGAGTAGGGTGGGTTTACTCTTAGGAGTCGTATTCACAGCTCACCTACCCAAAATACAACTCGGCAGAGCCCAAAACTGGATAAAAACGCGCGTTCCTCCTCTTTGTCTTCCTCAAATTATTTAGCAGCGCTTCCCCAGCACCGGCGGGTGAAGTTCTCTGAGCTTCTGGCAAAGGGTGAGATGCAGATGATCTGATCTCCTGGGGGGCAGCTGTGAGATGCTGAGTTTCCTGGCAAAGACTTTTCCTACAAAGACCTGGGAAAGTTTTACCTCTTTCTCTCTCGGCAGAATCCGCTAAGAGGCCCTCGAATGTTGTGAGGTTTTGATCATTTCAAGGCCATTAGTGATTGTGGGTTCCTAGATAGACTCACAACCCTGTGCGACTGTGTATCTCCCCAGCTTCTCACTCTGGCAGGAGACCACCCGTGTGTGTGTGTGTGTGTGTGTGTGTGTGTTTGTGTGTGTGTGTGTGTGTGTGTGTGTGTGTGTGTGAGAGAGAGAGAGAGAGAGAGAGAGAGAGAGAGAAGAGGAGACGGGAGGGGAGGGGAGAAGGAAGTCCCCTGCTGAAGTGGCTGCCTGAGCCAGATTGCTGGCACTTTCCATTCTGCCTGGCATCCGGCTGGCTAAGAACTGCCTGCCCAGAGGAACTGATCTGCAGCTGCCCCGCCTACACCAATCCTCCCTCGGAGGAGACTTTGAAATGAATCGGCAGCCTTTGATAGCAGGGAGACTGAGGCAAGGACAAGGCAGAGCCCGGCCATTCTGCCCAGTGAAGGAGGACCCTGGGGGAGGGCAGGGGAGCACCTGGCCTCAGAAATGCTGAAAGGAGGCCTGAGGCCAAGATCTGGCTTAAGAAATGTATAGATTTAGAAAATGTTGTCCATGATATTGTTTTCACGAGGGCCAACTGGTACCTAACAAGTTCATTTTGCGTTCCAAACTTCCAGCAAAAATTCTACACACTGTACCCGAATCCTAGTCCAAGTTCACAGGGCTCCCCCCCCCCCCCTTTCTCAGAGCCCCTAGAACTTCACCAAGACATAGAATCAAAAGGCTGAAAGGGACCTGGAAGTGGCCGGGGAGGCAGGGGGGCAGAGAAGGGAGAGGCCGAGGGTTTCCTAGGGAGCCCAGAGGAAGCCCAGAGCAAGCGAAGGGCAGAGGCTCCAGTTAAGGCTCAGATCTCCCCACGCAGAATATCAGGGGGCACTGGAGGGTCCACCTGCGCCCAGGGCACTCGGACTGGAGGGAGACCCTGACCCTCCTATCAGAGACCCTGACTCAACCACTCCCCCAAAGCCCTCCCAGCAATCCGTCTGCTCGGAAGCAGCTGCCAAAGTCTCCCAACCCACCTGGGGGGCCTGACCTGCTCCAACCCCAAGGGCTCCAAGAGACCCCCACTGAAGGCAGCTGAGCCCTCCCTCCCTCCCGAGGGTCCCCGCAGCCTCCCTTCCCTTCTCCATCTTATACCACTTCGCATAGGGGAGCCCAGGCTGGGCCCTCCTTTCCACAAGGGCTTGCCAAGGAGATGCTGTGATGAGAGAGAGAGAGAGAGAGAGAGAGAGAGAGAGGAGAGAGGAGAGAGAGGAGAGAGGAGAGAGGAGAGAGGAGAGAGAGAGAGAGAGACCATCTGCCGAGGAGAACAGGACGTGGGGAGAATGGCAGGCAGCGCCTGGGTGGGGGGACACAGAGGGAGAGCCGTTGTTACCTTGGGGCAGCCGGAAAGCGTTCTCCTGCAGCCAGGTGAAGAGGCCGGCAAAGTCACAGTCGCACAGCCAGGGGTTGCCCTCCAGGCGGAGGACCCGGAGGTTGGGCAGGGCGGCCAGGGTGGCCAGGCTCAGCCTCTGCAAGCGGTTGTGGTTCAGCTCCAGCACCTGGAGATGCTTGAGGCTGGTGAAAGCCACCTCGTCCACCTCAGCCAGGCGGTTGTTCCCCAGGCAGAGCTTGACCAGGCGCTCTGCTGACCGGAAGAGGCTGGCGCCCAGACGGCTCAAGTTGTTGTAGCTCAGATCTAAGTAGACCAGCTTGCCGGAGCTGTCAAAGGTGCCATCCGGCAGGGCAGCAATGGCGTTGTTCCTGAACTCCAAGTAGACCAGATCGCTGTGGAAGATGAAGAAGTCCCCCGGGACCCTCTGGATGCTGTTGTTGCCCATCAGGAGCTTCCGTACGTCCAGGGGGAATGGGGTGGGCATGCCAGGCAGCCCCCGGTCCCGGCAATCGACCGTGTGGGAGTCTGTGCAGCTGCAGGTAGCAGGGCAGGGGTGCCCCAAGGAGAAGAAGGCCAGGCAAAGCAAGACCAAGGGTGGCACACCTGGCAGCATCCTGGGAGTTCAGCAGGACCATGGGGGAGCCATCGCCGCTGGCAGAGAAGCCATCGGCGGCATCTTGGCAGCTCTGGCGTCTGCGTGTGAGGCAGGCAAGCAGAGCGTGGCTGGAAGTGTGTGGTCAAGCTGGCAGATCACGTATCCTGGATCAGGTAGCAGACACGCAAGAGGAGGCGGGAAGGCAGGCCGTGCAAGGGGGAGGGAGCGACTGGGGGGGGGGAGAAGCTGGGGAAGGCTTGCTGAGGCTGCCCCTGAAAGCCTTGCCGGGAGCAGGGTCGCTACTACCCAGGAAGGCCCTGGGTTCAAGAAATAAAAGCAAGTACGTCTCATGCTGGGGCCAAATCTGTTCACTTCTTTCATCTCAATTCACACAACAGAGGTAAACCTTAAACCGAGGTCAGCCAGATCCAAGGGCTTATTTACACGACAAACAAGCACAAGCAAGTACACAACTACACAATGGTTTCAAGGAACTCCTGGATGAAAGAGGAGCCGAGACAACGGCTGAGGATCCCACATTGCACCAAGTCCCATTTCCTTTAACCCTGTTTTAGCCCAGGCGAAAGTGTCGTGCGACGTTTGTGGGTTTGTGCTGAGTGGGTTATCACTGGGAGCCCCTAAGCAGAGGAGCATCCCGCAAATGGCCACCTTACCTCCTCCTGTGGGCTGCTTCAAGTCTTTGGTTGAGCCTGACCGCTGCAGTTGCCAGCATCAGCGGTCAGCGCTTGGGAGGCTCCCTGGACTCTGAGGCAGAAGGGGATGCCCCAGACCAGGAGAGCCTTTGGAAGGCAGCCGAAGCTCAACTGCCTTTTCTTAGAGGCTACGGGGTGTGTGTGTGTGTGTGTGTGTGTGTGTGTCTCCACATGTTCCAAACGACTCCCTGGACTCTGTGGGCAGGAGGAGGAGGAGGAGGAGGAGGAGGAGGGATGGCAGCAGCCTTGTCTCTGCTGCCCTCTTTGCTCCTGGCGCAAGTCATCACCTTAAGAACGGGTCTGGCTGCAGGAACGCACCTCTTGCTCCATGTTTTACCAAGGACCAGGAAAGCATGGGCAGTCTCCACTGCTAGATCAAATGGGCAGGCAGAGAGGGAGGGCTCAAAAAAAAAACACACCTTAATGCATGCAATGACAAAACCAAACAGTGAAACAACAAAATAAAAACAGCCACGCCTTCAACAAAGTTGGGTGTGAAATCTGTTCAGCCTACATTTTATTGGTTTCATTCAAAATGAATGCACAATCCAGAACCAAAGAATCCATGCTTTTCAAACTTTCCTAAGTTTGTAATGCCATCCTTCCCTTTTCTGTCTACCTTCCCCTTTCCTGACTCTGAGTATCTGTCATAAGAAACAGTTCCAAACTGCTGGCCAAAAAGGGATACAATCTGAAAGCTGTATATGCCAAAGTGTCCACTAGAGGGAAGCACATTCTTTGGAAAATAAAGCAGTTTTCCCTCCTCCTCCTCCTCCTCCTCCTCCTCTTATTACAATTTGTCCATTTTGGTCAGTGAGAAACGATAGTCCAGGTTGACTGCTGTGGCAGGGCTGCTGGGGGACAACTTCAAGCCCCATCTCTCAGTGCAGCTCTTCTGCCCATTTCTGCCCTAGAGCCAGACTGGGGTCCGCATGAGCCCTTCTCCTCAGGAAGGGGGACTGGCTTTCTGTTTTGCTTGTAAAGCGGGGGGTGGGGGGGTGGGGTGGGGTGTCAATGAACAACCTGAAACTTCAGGAAGAGGTTGGAAAGGTGAAGAGTTTAGGGAAGGGGCTGCTTTAGAACTACAGATTTCTGGGTGCCAAAATGACAAAAGTCTGGGTACCTGGGCAAGGTTCCCCTGATTACAATCCCTGCCCCCCCCTGTTTATCCCTTCCAACCAGTTAAAACCTGGGCTTATTCCCAGTTCACAAAGCAACTTCTCTTTTCCCTGCCCCCCCACCCCACCCCAGGGTTTCCTTGAGTTTACAGAAAAGGACCTGCTGACCTCGGGGCTCACCTCCTTTTGGGGCGGGCGGGGGGAGTGTCAGGATAAGCCAGGTATCTTTGTGTTTCCCCACAGACCCCCTGCTTCTCCATTCCGGAGCCCCTTCCCTCTGGCCAGAAAGAGAGACTTCCAGGAGAGCTGCTCCACGGGAGGGAAGTTGCTCTGGGCCTGCTTTTTATCTCTGGAAAACCCCCAGCAATCTTGCCTGCCGGGGTGGGGGGGTGGGGGGAGTGGTCTCCTTTCACCACCCAGGAGGATCTTCTGAATTTCCTGTAACATTAAACCTGAGGCATAGGGAGGGCGCAGGCAGGGCCCGCCCCTTGGGACCCCCCTGAATCCCCCCCAGTTGCAGGGTGAGGAGTAAGATCCCTTCTCGGCTGCATCCATCCCTCAGCCAAGGTTGCCGCCGGCAGAGCAGAAGAGCAGCAGCTGCAGCCTCTTTGGCCAGACAAGGCAGCCTGTGGGGGGACTGGATACCCTCAGGGCTGGGCAGGGGCCAACTTCTTCACTTCTTTGGCAACAAGAATCCAAAAATGGCCATTAAAATACAGCTCCTAGTTTTCCTCGTAGCCAGAGTGACCATCTGCATCTTGGCCAAGGAAGGTAAGGACAGCCCTTGAGGCATGGTTCTTGTGTGGGAAATTCTGTGTTTTTGGCAAAATGTACGTTTATTTTCATCCCTCCTTGAATGTTCAGGGCTGCTAAGCATTGTTGAATCAAATTGTAAATGCAAGTTTTAAAAGAAGCCAAAACAGTGCAAGTGTCATAGTGATATAGAGTTTAGTCAGTGAATAGAATAGAATAGAATAGGGTAGGGTAGGGTAGGGTAGAATAGAATAGAATAGAACAGAATAGAACAGAATAGAACAGAATTCTTTATTGGCCAAGTGTGATTGGACACACAAGGAATTTGTTTTGGTGTAAATACGCTGCATGGTATTAAAAAGTTGCACATAGAAGTTTTGTTTTGTGACTATCTCCTGACGGCAAAAGGTGGCAAAATAACCTGCTTTACTGCAGAGGCCCCTAAAGTTCTTCCCTTTCAAAAGACCCCAGAACAGCGGGAGGCCCACCCACCCACCGAGCGTTTTGTGGGAGAATAGGAAAATGGGCAGGCAAGCAGAGGTGGTGGTTTTGGAAGAGAAATGTTTCTATTTACTCCAGGAAAAACAATGTTGCCTTCAGTCCCCATAAAACAATTTTCATTTTTAGGAAACCTCCTTCCTGTCGCCCGACCAGTGGGGAAGAGTCGCTGGCCGCTGTTGCTGTGGCTACGCTCCCCCTGCCCCAATGCCCCAGCCAGGGAATGGAAGCCCCCTTTAGCCTCACAGTGAGAAGAGTGGCAAAGACCAAGATGGGGCAGGAACGGGGCAGGTTCGATAACTTATTATTATCGAAGTTAGAAGCTAAGTGTGCAAAGTTCGCACCTGCAGGGTAATGATGCCAGCCACACATCGCCATTTCACCACCAAATGTTGGGGACGGTGCATATTCAGGCTTTGGGTTCAGAAAACTGCCCGGTGGTGATTGGCCACTTCTGGAGTTTTTGGACCACTGTGATTGCAGACCTTGGAGCCATGTCTTGTGCCAACCTCAGGCCATCAGCTTCTACCACAGGGAGTGGGCAAGTCCAGAAAACTGGGCTAATTAATTACCCTGAGCCACAGGGGCAACTGGGTGCTTTGCAGACGACAGAAAAAGGTGCTTCCACTCCAATTCAGTCTCAGGCACCAACCAGATCAGAGGGAGGCTTGGTCGCAGCCTGCTATCGTGACCCTGAAAAAGGTGGTGCTTTTTAAGGTGTGAGCTTTGCCTTCCTCCCCAACCCACTCCAGTCCTAAGATGAAATTTGACTCCGCTCTGTGTGTAACGCCCAAGGTCCGTCCTTGTTAAAGGTCAGGTTCTTAGTTGCAGGCCAGTTCCTGACCAGGCGGGTGCTCCTTGGCAGGAGGCTGGGAGAGGAAAAGTGCTTGGTCAGTTTCTGGCCCTGCGCAGGGCAGTGAGTCACCTCCTCTGCATCTGTTTCCCACAGAAGAAGAATTACTCTTAAGACAGAAATGAAACTGCACCACATCAGCCAAGGCTCTTCGGGATCCAGCTGGCCTCCTCACAACCAAATGGGCACTAATTGCCCTGGTGGGAGTGCCAGTGCCCAATCGGTCTGAAAGTTTTCCAACTCACCCAGAGAGAAGCTTCCTCGCCTAGCCTGGGACTCTGCCAACGGTTAAAAAGAATCCGTTGGAACGCTACCCTTTGAAAAGCCCCTTCCTGCCCTGCCAGGGCTGGGCCTGACAAGCAAGCACTGCCTGTCCCGAAGCCCCCTGTGCCAGGGAGGCCCCCGCAAGGCTACTCTGCTGGGTCACCTTTGCTTCCCAGAGAGAGGCTGGGAAACCGGCTCCTCGTCCGGCTGGGGCCAAGCGACGACAGCTGGGCAGGGACGCCTTCCTCTGAGAAAATCCGGGTTGACCTCTGTGGGAAAGCCACAGGAGCTCCCAGGCTCACCTGTCTGACCTCAGGGCACAAGGGGAGTCCTCCAAGAAAAGGCTCCATGCGTGCAACACTCCCCCCCCCCCACGCCCGCCCCTTTACTGGAAACCGGCTGCAGAAAACACGCCACATGAAACTGCCATTTAGCTACTGATTGAAATGCCTTGCCTGTCAAACAAAGGAGCTGGTTCCTTCCAGGTCTTCTCTTGGAAATGCCCACTCCCACCCATCCGTTACCCCTTCTCCAAAAACAGCCAGGAGGAAGAGGAATGCCAGATGGGGAAGGGGCATCTGTCAGAAACGATGGGAAGGGCGTGCCTGGCCCGGGGAGGGGGGGCTTTTCAGTGGGAAGAGGCAGGACTGCTTCAGGGAAGCCTCTCCCCAAAGCTTGGCTCCTGGGCTGCACCAGGGAGCCAAAAACACACCCTGGGAGAGGCTCCTCCCTGGGCCAGGGACCCGCAGCCCCCCCAGAACATGAAAGGTCTGCATGCCTGTTCCCCCCACCCTCCTCTCCCTGGCGACTCCTCTTGTCTCCCCTTCAGCAGCGACAGCACCAGCCGAGGAGGAGGAGGAGGAACTGGGCAGAGCCCTTCTGGGAGCCAGCGAGGGTCCAGACTATTCCGAAGTGCCCACTCTGGTGAGTCCCCCTG